CTGGTTGACAAGATATGCAATACACACTAGAGCAGAGTGAAACACACACACACACACACACACACACACACACACACACACACACGCACTGGGTTCTATCGTCCTCCTTCCTGCCCATCAGCTGTAGACCACACACCCAGACCACACAGAGTCTGAGAACAGCCTAGCTCACTCTCACGCAGTTCGGCCTACGACCTGTCACTCAGACCACACCACTGTCTCTCTCTGTCTGAGCTGAGTTTTGTGTGGTGTTTCATACATAAAATAAAACAATTGGGTTTGCAAAGACAAACGTCCTAAAAAACTCGCAGGAATTTCTGATGACGCAACTTGAACTTGTTCAAGGGCTCAATTAGAGTGAAGGAATGTGATGCGGTCTTTGCACAGACTGTTTTAGCTGCATTAGAAACATCTCATTGGTGTTTTAGAGGTAAATGGCTTGTCGGTGAATAATTATTGCATCAGCTCAACTGTGGCCATGTACAGCCATTACTCCTTCACCTCTGGAGGCACTAAACTATGTTACACCGCTCCCTACTGGCCATTCAACTCACTACACTATTGTTTCTTGGCTCTGTTCACACTTTAAAATCTTCCTCTTTTTTATACTTGAAAATCTAGATTTTTGTGAAAATAAAGCATGTCAGTGCCAAATTCTTTACCCTCAAAGGCTCAAGGCAAACAGAGGGCCTTAACCTTAGATCAGTGCCAGGTAATTAGCTGTATTGTTCTGCTTATCAACTTTTTATCTGTTTACAGTCATGTGTTTTCCTTTGCGTATATTGCTTCATATCCGACGACTTGTTATTGCTTTCCAGCCATCGTAGTGTGCCGGGTCAAGAGCTTTGTTGTTGGAAGACACAAGCATAAACAGCAATTCAAACTGATTACCTGTGCTGATAGGGATTTTATTTCTGGAAATGGAAGCAATTCTCCTGATTCCTGTAGGTCAGATTCAGAGAATTATCATGCAATAATAGCAGGTGATAAGTGTAATGAGCCAGTGAAACATAAACTATATGGACAGTACTGAGTAAATTATGGGTGTGAAGCTTTCAGCTCAGGTTTTACTGAAAGGCTCTTGCCCTGTTTTTGTGAACATCAGTAAATATTTTATGGAAACACACCTTTATCAGCAGGTGGCCGGAACAATGACCAGAGGATGTTCAGGGTCAGTTTCAGGGGGATTTATTATTATTTTTACATGTATTCCTTATTAGTAAAAAAAACTTAAAGCTCCTTTATTCTTACTTGCCTAGTCTTTTGCTATAAATATTTTCATAATTATGAGGTTTCAATCGTCAGGCTAGATGTTGTGAAACCTTTTGTAAAGTAAAATAAAAAATTAGATAAATCTTTTTTTTTGGCTTAATACTTTAGTTTCAGGATGAAATAGATCAGCATTCATGACAAAAATACATTATTTTCTCTTCCCTTAAGGGTTAATTTGTTTTCTGTGATCTCTCACAATCATGGAGTCTCTCAGGGATCTATGCTGGGTCCACTGCTGTTCCCTCTGTTGAGGTTTATGTTACAGTAAGTACATTATTCCTGTTTGTTGCTGTGCTTGTGACATCTGGGTCTATGTAAAGTACCAGTTAAAGCCCATTAAAATCACTACTTCACTGTCTAAATTAAATGAACATTGAGCAACAAAATTTTCTCAATCTCTGTGAAAATAAAAAGAAATTATTTGACTTTGAAAAATCCCCTCATCGGATCTGATGGTACTGCAGTTTTTTGGCCTCATGCAGTCATTCTGCTTTCAGGAACCTGGGTGTGATTCTTGACAGCTTTTATGTGTGGGAACAGTTTAGTGCTGTTGTAACATCAAGCTTTTTCCAGTTCAGAGATAATGCTAAGCCTTATCTCCTTAGCTCTATCAAAGACTTTGTAAAGTTTATTCCTTCTTATTTGACCTCACGTCTAGACAACTGTAAAACGCATCACTGTATTGTCTATAAACAGTTCAGAACATAAAGTTTATCTTTCCACTGGTACAAAATATCATGAACACGTGATCCCAGCGTTGGTGTCTTTTCATTGTTTCCTGTCTCTTTCAGGATTGATAAAATCTTATTGCTCCCTTTTATAAGAGTAAATGTTTTGCTCTTTTTATTTAAACAACAGGGTTAAAGTTATCATACTGAGGAAAATAAAATATACAGATAATAAATGTCCTGATGCATCTCAGTAATCCAGGTAAAAAATCAAAAAGAAAAAAATTGTGTAGGTCTTCTGGACGGGTTCTTCTCTAATGAAATGTTTCATCTCTTCTCCAAGATACAGATAATAAAGTTTTCACAGTAATTTCTCATAATCTTTAGAATAATTTACCTCTACTGTACATAAATTATACATACTGAGATATTCAAAATATCTGAGATACTGTACTTTGTAAGAAATGTTGTTTGTTGTTACTTTGTTAATTTTGTTTAATCTAGGTTTTCCATGTAATTTTTATTATTTTTTAGTTCATTTGGTCAGCTTGCGGTACCTGCCTTGCAGACTGCTGGATATGAGCACCAGTGACTCCTGTGATGGAAGGAAGAAGAGGGTTAAGATAATGGATGTATGGGCATAAAATATGTTTTATGATCGACGGCTCAGTGGTTAGCACCGACGCCCCACAGCAAGAAGGTCCTGGGTTTGATCCTCGGTTCGGACCTGGGGTCTTTCTGTGCTGAGTTTGCATGTTCTCCTCGTGCTTGCGTGGGTTTTCTCCGAGTACTCTATGGAGTTAAACCAGTGACAGCTTACATTGATATTAAAATAGAGATTTGACATTGAAAATTGAAACACTGAAAAAAGAAACATTAAAAAATGGAACACTGGAAAAAAACATTGAAAAGGTTTTGGCATTTTAAAGTTACAGTGCCAAAATTTTTGTTTCATTTTTCAATGACAGTGTTTTATTTTTCCATTTTTTTATTTTTCACTGTTTCCTTTTTCAGTGTTTCATTTTTCAATGTCAAATCCCTATTTCAATATCAATGTAAGCTGTCACTGGTTTAACTCCATCCAGTCTCCCCCACCCCACAAAAACATGTACAATAGGTTGCCTTCAGGCGCAGGCCTCCCTTGAAAAAGAGATCTCAACGGGACTTTCCTGGTTAAAGAACGGTGAATAAATAAATAAATAAATAAATAAATAAATAAATAAATAAATAAATAAATAAATAAGTTTTTCTTTAATTGTGAAATTAACTCCAGTGACCAGCAGATGTCAGCAAAGCAAAGAGGTGATTTTTAGCAGAACGTCTGTTTCCTTGGCTGAGAACCTGAGTGGCTTTCTCAACGTTACTCAAGATCTAAACAAAGTAACATAGGTATGATGACTGACTGATGTAAACTGAATAAGATCAGCAGTGAATAGTAGAATTTAAACAGGATTTTTTTATTTATTAAACTTTTTATTACTCATTTTTATTCTAATAGTTGGAATAACGTCTTCTATTCTGTGTGAAGATTAAACAAAAAACAACTTCAGTACTTTACTGCTTACTAAAATAACATGCCGTGCTCTTTTAAAAAAGGAATTCATTATATTTATTTATTTTTACAAATTAGTCAAATTCATCGAATAAATATTAGCACCACTTTATTTAGAAAAAAAATCTGATGTGATGTTGCTGTTTTTATTTATATTAACTTTCAGGTGTGCTATGGGATCATCATCTGACAAAACTTTCAGCTTTTAGTGAAGGGCACAAACGACCGATAAAACGGAAAATCTAAAGCCTAACTACAAATGATGTGGTTTCCTGCAGAGGGGGAAACACCATGACAAATATGTGATATATGTTTTCTTTTCTTCTTCTTTTTTGCCTCTTTTTTTTCTAACCATTTTTGATTCTCTCGCTTGCTCGCTCTCTCCCTCTCCCTCTCTCTCTCTCTGTCTCACTTTCTTTGCTTGCAAATGTTCAGACCTCAAAACTAAAAGCACAACAGAAGTAGTTTAATCTGCAAATAAAACAACCTGCTGGTTGATGTAAGGTCTATAGAGTCACTAACAGGGCTGATCATAGTTTTTGTGAATTTCTTAGATTTTCTCTTTACTGTAAATGTTAGCTGTGATCTGAGATATGTGTGTGTGTGTGTGTTTGGGTTTGAGTCATTAGTGCTGTAGGTGGGGGAGTCACATGTTTTATCCTGAGGTCATAAATGTCAATTCCTAACACCAGTAATACGACAAGCGTGTACCTGCCCACACACAAAATTGCGTAGTTGTGCACGTAGTCCTTTGCGAGACACAGACAGCAACAAAGCTCTAAGTAAACTCATCTTGCAAACCGACGCAGTATTTCATTAGAGAATCACGGAGGTCTAAATGACTAGAATTGTGAGGAAAAATGATTTATGGTTGATGACAAAAACAATCATTCCAGACTGTGATTTTGGTTAGAGTTTGTGAAAGTGATGTGGTTTAAGTGTGAGGGAAGTAAATGCAGAGATCGAAACTCTGGACCACAGAAGAAAAAACATAACTAAACACCGATTCCCTCTTTCTTCAACTTTAACATTCAGGATTGCATCAGCATCCGGAATTAGTTATTGCATTTACAATCTCTGTGTCGTGTATTATTGTGTCTGCAGCTCTCTTGATAGCTTTTGGGRGACGCTCTGCGCACATTGCATGAGTACATGCATGCCTCTACATTAGGAATCAGATGCATGGGAACCAAAGCACTCCTTTGCACGCTGACCATGAAGGTAGTTTTCCTTCCCACTTGTGAGGCCACCAGTTTCAAGAGGCTCAGGTATCGTTTCCCTGTAAGTTACGGGATGAGAGTGATTTTCCAGTCAACGTGCCTCGGTCAGTGTTTGAACCACAGGTTGCTCTCTGATCAACTTTGTTTGTTTGGTGAGCTGCAAATCCGAAAGCTCAAATCAAAATGGACATTCAAACCAGATTGGTGTCAGAATATTTATTACAAAACTCAAAGAACTATACAATATTTCACAAGAAATAGAAAAAGACGAGAGAAAATGATGCAGAATAGGTGATATGACGCAATAAAAATAAAAATAAGCTGTCTGGCTATTCTGTAAACATGCCCATTTCAGAAATTTGGACATGTCTCCAGTAAGTTTTCCATTTTGCATGTCAATTATGTTATATTATAAAGTTAGTGAATCACAGAATAAGCTGTGTCATATCGGAGAAAATGTTGATTTTTTTTTCTTGGTATCCCTTCACTCGTTGCACGAGTTGCATGTTCAATACCTGCAAATAATAAGTTTTCATTCATGCCGGCTTATCTCTTCCACGTATCAAAGTTTGTCTTAGGGGCCATTCTTCCTGTGCACCTGCTTTAGTACTTCCTGTCTCAGTTTGCCCTCGGCTCGCCTCACCCCCCCACCCCCTTCCACCCTCCCTCCACCCTCAAACCGCATCCTTCACACTGTCACAATATTCACAGAAGATTTTTTTTTGCTTTTTCTTTTTTAAATGAATTTTTCTCCACAGTCAACGTCCACGATGCCAAGACGTGCTTGTCAAATTGACAGGGGTCTTCCCCACCCCGAACCCACCGCAGTGCAAAGATTTATAGTACACAGCCTTCACAGGACATCAGAAAAGGTCACAGCTTTGAATTCAGATTGGTACCTCTGCTGCTTAAAGTTCGTTTCTTATTGTTTCGGCGTGATCTTCACTCCTGAATGTGCTGCAGAGGTCTCTGGGAAGCATAGTCTATTGATGAAGAGGAGTTTTGTTCCTGGATGTGGTCATAGGTCCGCAGGTAGTGACCTGTGTTCTGCTGGTAATAGTACATCAACTTCTTGGCAAACACTGGCTCCACCTAAAATAAAATGAAATTTCAGTATGTTAAATTATTACTTGTTTTATCCAAATACGCCCCAAGAAGACAGAAAATAGAAAATAACCTTAAATAGGCCACAGAATCCTGTTAGTTCAACGTGTTTTTTCTAAGGCGCACTCCATTTTAAATTATAGCCAATTTTATGCCAAGTTGATCATATTTTTTTATTGTTTTGCTTAAATCTGCTTTAGTCAAAGTAAAGATATTTACATCCAAATGAGGTTAATTAAGCTTCCAAATGTTTATATGATAATTTGATGACTAACAAACATGTCCAACCAGAAACATGAATATGATTCCAATAAAATTTAGCTGTAGTTATCTATTGCTAGTTGTGGTTTATCTACATTTGTATGTGTTCAACGGTTTTCTAGAGTACAATCAGAAAAAGGTGTATTCAGGGTAAGACAAACACGATCAAAGGAGCAACAATTCTGTTTGTGCATTCGCTGCACAAAAACCTCTGTAACCAGATGCAGATGTATTTAGGTTGGCAGCTAAGGAAAGCAAATGGCACAAAAACAACCCAAACTCTCACCTGTCATGATTTGCGACTGTGATTTCTTGTTTTAACACCTGCATCCAGTCTATTCTGCCACTTATTATCCACTTAACTGCTGACTGCTTTGTAGTTGCAGAAATTCAGCCACTGAAGGATATTTTGTGATCGATTAACTGAATTTTAGATCCAGTCTTATATTTTATATTTTGTAATTGGTTTACATCATCTTTACTTTCGACAGTTTGAGAATCAAAAAGTTTCTATTTAGTTTTAGTGTCTGTTTCTATAACTTACTTCCTGGTTTACTATGACATCATATTCGGGGTGGGACTTGTCGCTGGGGGGCATTTTTACTGGGCCTCCGGTACCAGGGTGGAGATATCRGGAAGCGGACCAGATCTAAGATACTGTATGTGTGGTAAACTCTACATGTCTGTAAATAAATATTCAAGTTTAAATCTGAGTACGACTCCTGTGCGTACTTCGGCTGCAAATAACAACACGTTTTCTTACACTCCAAAGACATGGCTTGAAAAGTATAAATGAGTTTCGCGTCTGAATGCAATGTTTTTAAAATCTTATTTGTTCTCAGATTTTTGTATTCAACTTTTTTAGTGTTTGGTGGTAAAAATAAAGTTTTATAGTACATAGGTACCTGCGCTGTGATCAACTTCCTCGGACGTTGTGGATYGGGGTATTCATCTCCGAAACACAGAACCACTTGGAGTCGTGGTAAGTGGCGGCCATTTTTGGCAAAATCTTGAAGCTCTGGGAGGAGAAGAGCAAAAGAACAAAGATTACATCACTACTAAAGAAAATACTTCAATGAATCCACCACCTGAAGATTTCCATTGTAGATACAAGTCAACACCAATCGTTGATCATGTGACCTTTTCCTGTATTAGAATACGTTTTCTGGAAAGTACTAATGAGGATGGTGGAAATTCAGGTTGAAATGGCACAGAACATGCTGTCGCATCACGCAGTGTGGTGGACCACATGTGGGTGGGGACTCCACATACTTTGGCCTCCAGCTGAAAAGATGAGTTCCTTCTTTTGTGCTACCTCAATGCTGAGAGAGGGACTTACCAAGCTAAAGCACCTTCAGCCTTGCTCTCAAGTCTAGCGCCACAAGCACCACCCTCATCAATGAATTCAACCATTGACATGGAAATGATTGAGACATTTGTTGTTTTTTGTTTTGGTTATTTAAAAAAAAAGGTTATATTTCTGCCAATGCTGTTCATTTCCAAAAGGAACTCATACTCATGATAATAACTGACTCGAGTTGTTTGTAAGAGTACAAACATTTTCATTAAAAAGTTGTCAATATCCCGCAACAGATCGTTGGTTCCAGTTTCTTTCTCAGTACACTGTAAAGACTGACAATACAGATGGGTTTATTACAACAATAATGTGTGAAATTATAAGCACGGTTGCTGTTTCCTTCTTAAGCATCTTTAACACTGTTTAAAGTATGAAAAAAAAGACACGCAGTTCAAAGAATAATCAACATTGGGTTCAGTTTAACTGAAAACAAACACTAAATGTCTTCTTTTTTTGGAAATTTGTTACAACGGCCTGTCACAAAAACCAGAGTTGTAAAGTAACTAAGTGCTAATACTTTGTTACTTTAAAGTAGAAATTTTGGTTATCTGTACTTTACTTGAGTAATTATTTTTCAGCATACTTTTTACTTTTACTCATTACATTTTAACACAATTATCTGTACTTTCTACTCACATTTTTTAAAAAGGTCAGAAGTAGAAAGTCTTTACTCCTATTTTATTCTGAGTTGTTATTACTTTAAAAAATACTATCCTGATAAATTGTGTCTCCTGGATAGTGAATTTAATTGTGTTTGGATGAGAAGTATAAATATATACCATTCTGACACCCTATTAGCTTGTACACAACCCATCACAGCTGCACGCCGTTAGAAAAAATATTTTTTGGAGAAATCACCTCCCAATAAATGTCATTTTAGAAAATCTTAACTGCTCACTTTTACTCAGTACTTTTACTTTTAATACTAAAGTAGATTTTGTGTCAGAAATTTACTTTTGATCCTTAAGTACAAAAATATCAAATACTTTGAGACTTTTAAAGAAGAAGAAGAAGTGATATTTTTAGAGAAGTCTTTAACTTTTACCAAAGTATTTTTATGATAAGGTACTTGTACTTTTACTCAAGTATCACTTTGAGGTACTTTATACAACACTGACAAAAACATACAATAACTCATTTGTTCGAGTTATTTAAGTGAAAAACCRGTAACTTGGTAAACAATATGTCTGTGCAGTGGAAACTGAAAAAAAAAGAAACTGGACAAGAGAAGAACAAAAGCAAAGGTGAACAGCATCTGAAGTGCATGCTGCTGCTTACCAAGGAGGAACTGATGGGTGTCAAACAGTTTACATGGCTGATCCTTCTCCAGCTTGTTGGGTTTATCCAGATGTGGAGCCAGAGGTCCCTCCCAGTAGACCCGTCCCTGACACAAGCGTTTAGCGTACAGCCCGTCAGCTGTCATCCACAGTAGCACGCCTCTCTCCAGTATGTTGGGAAGCATCTCAGCACCCTGTCTTTGGGACTCGGGATACGGGGCCGGGAAAAGAACGACTTCAGCCCCGTCGTGAAACTTGTCCTCCGGACACGGAGACGGTGAGGAGGAGGATGGAGAGGATGCAGAGGAAGAGGTGATCCGACAACCTTCTGGGTTGGTGACRGTCACCTCTTTCACCAGGGATTCTCTGTAGTATAGGGACACATGCAGGCTGAAATCTGAAAGAAGGAGATGGTTCTTTAGTTGGCACMTCTAAATAAAAATAAGATCTAAGTCACAGTGTGGTCAGGAGACAGGGCTGAAGTGCATGAGCTATAATTAAATCTACAGCAACTTGTTAGAGGCAATCTTTCCGTTTCAAATATTTCTCTTTTCTTTCTTGACATTTAAAGCATCTTTTTCAGTCTCCTATTTTAATCTAAGCTCGTGTAGTAAAAAAAATAAAATAAAGAAAGGTGATGAACCAGTGCTATGGGCTTCAAAATATGGAAGTAAAATTTGCAAGGGGTGGTTGTAGTTTTGTATCAAGAAATGCAATTAGATTCCAGATATTAAACATTTACAGTACATTCCATCGGTTCTTTACCTGTTATGACATTGTTGGGCTCCATCGCATACATGGGTGGCTGAGAGTCGGAAAAGAAGGTGTGGAATGAGAGCTGAAAGCCTGCATTTGAAAAATGAATGGATAAATGTCGATAAAACAGAAGAAAAACTTTCAAGCAGAAGTGAGCTTGTTTCTACAGAGAAAGTTGTTTTTCATATTCTTGTATTAGAATTGAAAAGGAAGAAGCTTATGTTTCACACCTCAGTTATCGTACGCATGAATTGACTTAAAATTACAATGTACAGTTCTTGGTTTTGATTCATAAACAGATTGAACATTAAAGTTTGCTGCAGGAGGACTGCATAATGATTAATGATATTAAGTGATCTGGTATCTTCATTATTCACAATTCACAATATTATAATAGAATAAATTATTGACTGACTGAGTGAAACTGGTTTGTCAGAACAAAAAGAGTTCAAATCTGTGAGACGTTGTGAAAATGTTCAATTACTATGTGGAATATAGGTGAAACTAATGTTTTTAACATGTTTCCTGAGGTTTTCACATGTGAAAATGCACACTTTTCCTGTGAAAACATGGTAAAGCACCATTTTAAACATGGGCTTTGCACATCTTTGTGTGGTTTTTGATCGTTTTCAAAACTGTTTATGCGATCACGTGGTGTGATTTTCCAGATGGAGTCTCATGTAAAAAATGTGGTCGATTTATGCAGCTTATCTGTAAGGGAGGAAGAGCTAAGAGGTTGTGACTAAAAGATAACGTCATATTTTTCTTATTGTAGAGTAGTGCATTAAAGTCTGCATCAGTTTAGTCGGTAAATAGTTGCCTTACCGTTTTCTGTGTGTGAGCCAGGCCAAACACGCCCGATCGATGGCTGGTAGTGGCACTGGCCGTACGGCAGCTCTGCATGTTGCCCGTGGGGATGTGTGTTAGACATAGTCTGTTGTTCTGGCAGTACATGATAATCACTCCAGTCTCTTCTCTCCTGAGAAACTACAAAGCTGGGCACCTAAAAGAGRAAGCACAGGGATGGTTACTCACACAGCAAGACTTAATTTTAAAGAAGGCAGGGTACCGCAAAATCTTTTAACCTGGTTGTGCAGTGACGTGAAAGGAGGAATGTAGCCGAGAGTGTTAACATGTGAGGGTGCTTCTTCCAAACGGCTCATCTTCATTCCTGTAAATGTTYGAAAACAGAAACTCTCATGCTTTCAGCAAGAATCAGGAAAATGGAAACTGTTATTAAACGCTTTATGACCTAATTTCATGCAACAACAAAGAAGTAAAAACTTTTAATCGATTTGTGAAGCACAGCATCAAGAGTCTTTAGGCAAGTCTGAACTCTGAATTATGCTTCCTGCACGTGTTGGGTTGTGTTATTTTATCTGAGGGTGATTTGCAAAGCAAGTGCAACAGASAGCAAACTGCATCTGCCTTTTTTTTCATGTTGACAAGGTAGCAAAAACTGCTCTTCTGTGACAATAACTGTTGTATGATGGTAGAGACTTGGTTATGCAAGGCTGAGGTTGTCTTGTGTTGTGTGTGCACCCTGAGCTTAGTAACCGAAGCCCTCTAAAAAAAGCACTACGGCCTTTTTGGTTCATGCTTTTGCTTCCTGTGCTTCCTGCCTCATCGGAATCAACAGCAGTGGTGCAAATGTATCTGTGAAAAATAACCAATAGCTTATAAACACTGTAGCAACTGTGGGAAATGCAGCAGCAGTCTCCGTAAGTGTGGCTGCAACATTTAGAAAACTTAATGTTTTATTTCTAAAATCTTATCCCACTTTATACACAACGTGTGTTTGATTTGAAATCTTACAGCTGCACAACATACAACATAACGCGCAAACAACTTTAAAAACTCACCCTTTTTGGATCCCTCTGGGATGATTCTGTAAACCTTGTACGGTTCGGAGATGTCCAGCTGACTTCTTTCCACCATCTCATCGAAGTCATTGCTTTTATTGAGGGCGCAGCGTAACCTGGTTTTCCACGTGGGGGGGTCTGGCTTGTCTACACCTTCCTTGTATTTTCCTTTAAACAGCGCCCATGCCTGAAGGAAAGGGAGGGAAAGCAATAATTTAACAAGTAAATAGTTTTTCTTAGTTTCCGATTTGCTTGTAAGAAACTAAAATAAATCATGCAAAACCGACACTTTTTTGTTTTTTAAGAAATAAAAGTTATTTTCTGGCTTGCAAATCTTTAATGCAGTGGTAGAGCTGCAGTTGTCAGGTGCTTTGTGGATGTCGTGTGAGGCGAGAGAAGAGACGGTCTGACCTTGAAGAGCGCAGCATCCTCCTCCCTGTTGTAGTCTTGCTTTCCCGCGTGTTTCCACGGAATCCTGAAGATGCTTTTCTCGTCGTTTTCCCAAACCAGGCCGGGATATCGCCTGCTGTCGATCTGTTCTATCAGCCACTGTCTCAGCTTGCCATTGCCGCAACTGACTGACAGACCACTGTCTTCATCCAGGTTCATCTCTGCAAACGAAACGTGTTCAAATAAAGCACATGGTGGACCCGTGGACACAGTGAGGGTTTGGAGTTTAACAGTCAGACTCTGTGGTTTTTCTAATGCAAAGCAGTTGGGTTTATTTAAAGTTGCAACTTCCAGTTTGAATTGTTTTCCAAAAGCATTTATTTGAACTGATCTATTGAGTCTCAGTCCAAGCAACAATATAGTGGTCACTTTTGTCAGATTTTATGCTTTTCTTAAACACCTTTGGGGATGCTCATTTACAGCCTAATCCAAGGATTTGGGCTGAAATAAGAAATTGCATTCACTAAGTTTAGCAGTTTTCCTGTAAAGGCAAGGGACATTCATGAATCATTTAAAACACATGTAAATAATAATAGTTAAAAAGGTAAAAGTCAAATAATTAATGTTTGAGTTTGGTTTGTTAACCTAAAGGTTACCTAAAACTTTATAATCATGTTAGATTGGTTGTTTTGAAAGTAGAAGTGATTTTGGCTGAGTTGAAACATTTTTCTCCGAGCAGAAACTTCTGCCTTTATACAATAAATAAAAATAGTTTTGTTTTTTAGTTTGAATTCAGATTAATTTGCTGCTGCTGCTGCTGCTTACCTTTAGAGATGTGGGTCCACCGCGGAAATCTGTCTGGAGGCTTTCGGGGTCCTCTTAAACTTATCACTTTTTTTTTCTTTTTTTGTTAAGGGAGGAGCCTGTGCATCGGGCTCTGAAGTTCTGGAGGAGATGCGCAGTAGATTGCGCTCTCATTTTAAAAAAAGAAGAAAAAAAACTCTGCGCCCACGCAGCTTGGCAGCGGGGAATCCCTCAGTAAAGAGAGACACCCAGAGCGCACGTCGGGACTAATTGGAACAATTACCTGCTGTTACACCATCAGAGAAAATAACCCAAATATATGTTTCAACTAAAAGAAAGTCCAACCCATTTCCACTGACAAAGCTGCTCCCTTATAACCATGCATTTCACCTGGGGAGGAAAAACAATGTTGAGGAAAGATAATATCAGCCAAATATCAAAAACACTCACATGGGATTGAGTGCAAAGAGCGTTTTAGGGTGATTTGTATCGGGTAAGAGAACTGTCAGAATCATTGTATGTGTAAGAGTCTAAATTTGTACATGTAAGTCTATAAACGTACATAAATTTGTTACAACTTTGCCAAATTACAAGTACGAATCAAATTTACAAGTACAATTCTTCTGTGAGAACACAAGTTTTTAAATTACAAATACAAGTTAAAAAGTCACAACTTTGCCACATTACAAGTACGAATCAAATTTACAAGTACAAATCAAATTTACAAGTTCAATTCTTTTACCTGTCAAAATAAGACATTATGCATGGAACACCAAAAAGATCGATTGCAAACAGTAACTAAGCCAGACCACTAGGGGGACATGACCACTGCCTCATTTGGGACCAGATGAACTCTTTATAAACACAACAATTTGCTGAAGGGAAAAGCATTTGGAGGCTTTTCAGTTTGTCATTCATGTCGTGTAGTACAACAATGAAGTAAATAGCGGATTTATGATGAACAACCAAAAAGGAAAACTGATGCATTCATAAAACCGACTGCATAATGGAAAAAATAATCCAAGTTCAAAAACACATAATGGCAGTGCTCTGACCCGGCCAGCAGGGGGACTGAAGTCCACCATCAAACCCCTAAACAACTGTAAGTTAAACTCTTTTTACTTTTAATAGTAGTTTGTATTATTTATTTCACATTTGGTACACATAGTACTTGTCAGTATTTGTAAGAGGATGTGTTTAAACAGTTTCTTTGCTGAAAGTAGAGCTTTGTTGATTGCTGTTGTTGTTAGCATGGTGTTAGTGTTAGCATGATGATATGAATAGGAAAGAAAAAAACAGCCTCATACTTCCTGTTCAGTTGAAGTTTATTTAGAACGGCTTGAAAAGAACAAAAACCTAAATGGTGTTAACAGTGTGTTTAAAAAGCTTTCTCTGACTCTATTTTGTTTTGTTTAGTAAGACCTTGTTGGCTACAATTTTAAAGCTTTGTCAGAACTACACGGACATTGATTTTAATTAGGATCACCATAAATCAAAGTTAAACTGTGTTTAACTAAGTTAATCTATTTTTAACTACTACCAAACTACTTCCTTCAGATTTCAGTGACCAATATGTGTAGAAAAATGTTTGCTGTCTGATTAATGAGACTGCTGGCTGTGACTGTGTGATACTATAACTGTGGTCTTTTCAATTTACYTTTATTCAACATGGACCTGAATCTGTTTGTGGACCCACTGAGGACCTGTCTCCAGACCTTTGTATCAGAGGACTGAGACCATCAGGCTCCACCAGTGAGACTGCAACCAGTGGAAGCCACTTCCACCCCACGTCAGGTCAAATAGTTGTATTAGCAGTAATATTATAAACTTAATAAAAATAAAGTTAATATAATTCATCAAATAAAGTTAAAATAAATCAGTCCTGTTAACCTGTTGATCTTCTGTGGTTCAGATAAGTGCAGTTGATACAGCGAGCAGCATTCAGCCCATCCATGACCCAGGACAGATGTCCTCTACATCCACACCTACAACTGACAGGTGGATGAGGAGGTGATGGAGTTCCTGACCATCTGAAGAACTGAACCAGCAGCAGGATGAGACACTGGAACAAAATCTGTTCATCAGGGTTTTAAAGCCTTCATGACAGCTGAAAAATTCAGTTAATGCAAATGTACAGTTTTAAAATGTCCTGTTTAGAGCTGAGGAAGTCAAACACCAGGCCTTGACGTATTGTTTAAACTCAGGATGTTTAATCTGTTTATATTAAAACTTACCTAGAAGTTTTCATTTATTTGACATTGATTGATGGTTTTACTTTAATAGATAAAATTTTTTAAAAGTCAACACTTTTGTTTTTACCTAAGAGCTGTGAGTGATAGATGAAACAATGAATGTAGTAAAAAAGGGGGGGCCAGTAAATTGTTAAAATGTTTAATGAAATGTATCACAAATAACACGTTTTAACACATAATATAGTGTACTACTATTATTACTGCTACATTGTGACATATTTTTATTAAAATAATTTTTAACTGATATTTCTTTCAACGGTCACTAAAATGAAATCAATATTTTCATTGATTTATTTTCATCTCCCTGCTCTGGCCTGTCGTGGTGTTTCTGAGTATTTCTGACACCTTAGTGCACACATGTATCAGAAAGCTCCAGCATCAGTCCTGATGTTCTGCAGAAAGCTCCAGCATCAGTCCTGATGTTCTGTAGAAAGCTCCAGCATTAGTCCTGATGTTCTGTAGAAAGCTCCAGCATTAGTCCTGATGTTCTGCAGAAAGCTCCAGCATTAGTCC